AGAGAGAGAGAAGAGAAGAGAAGAGAAGAGAAGAGAAGAGAAGAGAAGAGAAGAGAAGAGAAAAGGAAAGGAAAGAAAAAAAAAGAAAAACAAAGCAAGCAATACATTTCCCTGCACCCTGGGAAAATCCCAGGCAGCCACAGGGAGAAGGCCCAGAAGAGGCCTGGGGAGGGACAGCCCTGTGACACCTTGATCTTGGGCAGTTCAGCATTTGATGAAAGCCCCGGGGGATTTCCGCTCACATCCTCAGACCACCTTCCTTCTCCTGCCTTGAAAGCCCAGCTTGCTGGGTCTCTCCCAGGCTCCAGGAAAAATGAGACCAGTGCCGAGCTAAGGGCTCCCCGCGCTGTCCTGTCTGCCTTCCGGCTGCGCTGCCTCTGGCCATCAGCCCCACATGTCAGGGTTGCTTGTGGGGTTCCCAGAAGCAGAGGCTACCGCTGACCGCCAGCGTCCTCCTGCCTGTTGCCTCTGCTTCCCCGTGACTGCATGGACAGCAGCACCCAAGGTGTGCATGGGCGAAGGCCTGCATGGCCACAGCATGCCTGGCAGCTCTGAGGTCCTACAGGGACAGTGTGGCTGAGGGGGACAGGTGTCAGCTGGCTGGGCAGGTGACACAGACTCTGGGGCAGAAGTAGTGACGTGCCCTGGCTGTGCAGTCACCGTGGGGGAGAGGAAGGTGACCTGGGACCTAGGAAGTCAGGCTACAGATGGGAAGTGCTCACAGAGGGAAGTAGAGCCATAGTATTTGAGGGTTAGGGTTTAGAGGGCAGGTGCAGTGTCAGCCACAGAGAGAAGGCTCGAAGCATAGGGATCCAGATCAGAGAGGATATCTACAGGTTGTCTTTACAGAGCTCACACTCTGAGCGTGGTCACAGGAGGGGAAGTGGAGTGAAAACAAAGGATCCTGGAGAGGAGATTAAAATGCGGGTAAACATGAACTTGGAAGAGACACCAGGAATGCTGCGGCCTCCAGTGGCTCTAGCTCTTGGGGTGATAAGAGCACAGAGAAGAGCTGAAACCCTTCATACGGGAGGCAGCTTGCGGAGCCTGCCTGGTGGAGGCACCAGGACTGACGGGGCTCCGAGCTTGCATGGCAAGGAGCCTGGCTTTGCACGCAGAGGAGGCCAGAGCCGGGGCCGGTGCTGAGGTTGTGCGGGGTGCTCAGCCTTCTGGGCCGTCACTGGGCTGCCCCGTCTCTCAGTGAGGGTCTCCATCATGGTCATTTCCCCAGGAGTCCCACTCCCAATATTTCAAAAATCCCCATGGTGTCCATGTACTTTATCAAGAGCAATGCCCAGCTAATCCCTTCCTGGGTGTGACCCCGTGGTGCCCAGCTCTGGCCACGAGCATGGCCCATTCTCCACGTCAGCAGCCTGGCACGGTCCGGCCTCCTGTCCGGGAGCCAGGGCCTCGCCTTCTCGGGCACGGCTTCCTCCCCGGGCAGCCAGGCTATCGCAGCGCCTTGTCCTAACAAAGGATGGAGGGCTGGGGCCTCAGCGGGGGTAGGGGTGGGCTGGGGGTTGGGGAAGGTTTCCAAGGCTTGCTGAACAAACAGACAGGAGATGATAAAACTGCCAGGCCGGTGGCAGCTGCCCATTCTGCTGGCCTCCCTGGGTGTAGCGGAGTGGACATGCGTCCTCAAGATGCCTTGCTCCTGGCTGTGGTCCTCTTCCTGGGGCTGTGTGCCCTGGTGGGGGGCGAGAAACCTTGTAAGTGAGAGCCCCATGTGCTGGGATGGGGAGCCGGACACACTGCAAGCTCAGGGTGGAGGCGCGGTCAGCCCCTCCCCCCTGTGGCTTCTGGAGTCAGCTTGGGAGGCTGAGGCTGCGCAGGCAGCTGGGACCTGATGCTGGCTCGAGGGGCTGCCAGGATGCCCCATTCAGATCTCAAAGAAAGGTCAAGAGTGTGGCGAGGGCTGGCCGAGGGCATCGGGAGGCCTCAGCCCCACCTTGCTAACCTTCCACCTCGATCTTGCCTGAGCCCAGAGCCACCTTCTCTGCAGCAGGGCTGCCGCTGCTGCTGTTCTTCTTTTAAGTAAGAAGACAACTTCAGCAAAGGCCCTCAGTTCCTGGGGAGGAAACTGCACAGTTCAGACGCAGGCCTGATGAGACCCTGCGTCCTGGCTGCCTGGGACACAGAGGCTCCTAAACCCCAGAGCAAGGGGTCCCGCGCTGACCCTGACCTCTCCACAGCCCCCTGCCAGTGTTCCCGGCTGAGCCTCGACCAGCGGAAGAACTGCGGCTTCCCAGGCATCACCAGCGACCAGTGCTTCAACCTCGGCTGCTGCTTCAACTCCAGCGTTGCTGGGGTCCCCTGGTGTTTCAACCCCCTGCCCAGCCAAGGTAACCACCAGACTCAGGCCCTCTTCCTGAGGTGAGGGTGGCAGCACAGGACTCGGGTTCTCGCAGAGTCCAGCGATTTGCAAGCCATTGGCCTGGAGCTAGTCCAGGCTGCTTAGTCTGGGACGGTTAGTCTAGGCCTGGCCCAGGTCCATTAGTCTCCTGCTAGCCCAGCCTGGTCAGTCTAGGGCAGTTAGACTGGAGCTGGTCCAGGCCTGGTCAGTCTGGAGCTGGTCCAGGCCACTTGCTGTAGGGCTCACCCAAGCTGGTTAGTCCAGAGCAGTAGTGGTGAACCCGTGGCATGCATGCCGCAGTGAACTGTTTGTTAACAATGAAAGCTCTAAAGGGTTCGCCGTCACTGTCCTGGGGCTCAGTCAGGCCAGTTATTCTAGGGCTGGCCCAGGCTGGTGAGTCTCCGGGTACCCCAAGCTGGTTAGTCCCTGGCTAGCCCAGCCTGGTTAGTCTGGGGCTGGAAATGCTTCACTCACCCCCAGCCCCACCATTTGCCCTGTTAGCGGTTGTGTGTACGAACCTGTCTGTTTTGCTTTATTTGGGGCCAAAAAAGTTATTCACCTTCTTTCTAACTTTAAACCTGTGGCTTCCAAAGACGCTTCCAAGGGGAGATGGAGGCTTTTGCTAGAACGTCAGCAGTATTCCTGCGAGCAGACCTCACATGGTAGTGAGGGAGTTGAGGCTTCTCACAGCCCTCAGGGAGGAGTCCCAAGTCAGAGTCTGGTCAGGTTCCAAGTTCATCACCTGGGCGTGCAAAGAGAAGCTGTGTGTGAGCCCCGCCGAGTGTGGACCTCTGCCAGGCATGCTCGTCCACGCACATGGGGGGCTTTCCCGCCCGCGTTGCGGCTCAGCGCTCCAGATCCACAGAGCCTGCCAATCCAGGGTCCCCGTGGGCGGTGGGACCTGGGCCTTGCTCGGTCACCAGCCTCACGGAGTCCCCATGCTGTCGCTCCCGGGCCAGCATCCCAGGAGTGTGTCATGGAGGTCTCCGCCCGTGAGAACTGCGGCTACCCGGGCATCAGCCCCGAGGACTGTGCTGCCCGCCAGTGCTGCTTCTCCAACGCCATCCGCCAGGTGCCCTGGTGCTTCTTCCCCAAGTCCGCAAAAGGTAGGAGGCTGAGTCCTGCGGGGCTGCGGGGCGGGCAGCGGCTGTCAGAGGCCACGGTGCCATCCACTGGGGTGCTTCAGGAGAGTCTGAGCCGCCTCCCGTGGGAAGCAGAGCAACTGCGGGACTCCCGCTCACTCAGCCCCCCTTGGTCTTGATGCAAGTCTGTCCCACCGTCCTGCACTTAGACAGGACATCGAGCCTTGCACCGTGTGGCTGGAGGGATGGGCAGGAGCGAGGCCTGCGCGGTCCTCCCCTGCTGCACCTTCCCCTCCCTCCGCCCGGGTCCTCCGTGACAGTCTCAAGGGCCCCCCCCGAGTCGCCCTGTGGCCGCAGCCCTGTGACAGACAGACCTGTTCAAGACCAGGGCGAGGGCTCGCTGGCGTGGAAGCTGATCTTTGGGTTTTCCTTCCACTCTCAGAGCTTTCTGGGTGACCTCGGAGGTGACCCAAAGGCTGTGCGGGAAGGCTTCCCACCCGCCGGGAGGAGCAGGCCCCAGAGGGAGCACCCTGGGCCGGGGTGGGGGTAGGGTCACCCGTCCCTCAGGAGCAGACCTCTGGACACGGCCTGGCGTCACAGGAGGCCCCCATTCCCACACTGCCCCACGTCCCTCTCCAGACTGCTATTATTAAGAGGCACCAAGATGCTGGCCGCTGAGGGCCCGCCCTGCTCGCTTCCTGCTGTGACACCAGAGAGGGAAGCTCACCGCCCGCCGCTTCGGTCCTGCGCACCCCAGGTCTCCTCCACCACCCTTCGAGCCTTCTCTGAGGTGCAATGCACAGCTTCTTCAAATAAAGAATACCCTCAACATCGCCTGGGCTTTGCTTTGTTTCCATGGACACAAGGGTGGCCATGGGAGTGTGCGTGTGCGTGTGCGTGTGCGTGTGCGCATAGGCATGGGTGTGTGCCCATACGTGAGCGTGTACTCAGCTGAGTACATGTGTAAGCGAGTGTGTGTGCCGTTTTGACACCTTTTCACCTCTCCTGAGAGCACCAAGGCTCGGTCTCCTTCCGAGCTACTCCAGCAGCCGTGAACGCCCAGATGCACGGGAACTTCAGAGCCATCGCTAACTCCTGGTGCCCAATCATTTTTACCCGCTCCACGGACCTTGACCCTGGCAAGCGGTCTCAGATCATGTTGATGAAGTCACCGTGTTTTGACCAGGGGTGTCCTAGCCTGCTGGCTTTTGGATCAGGTGCTCGGCCATATTGGCTTCCTTCCTGTGTGGCCTTGAGTGTCACGGGGAAGGACAGGGCTGGTGGCACGGTCTCTCCCATGTCTCTCCCCCTCTGCCCGAGAGCAGCCTCTGTCACATGCCCAGCTGGAGGGTAGAAGGAGGAAGCTGGCCTCACTGCTCGCGGCCGCTCTGCCCTGGGGACTGTCTCTGCTCCGTGTGATGACCTAGGCGGAGGTACTGGGCAGTGACCCAGACAGACCGGGCTTCCTGCAGCTTTGTCCTTCCCCTGCCCAAGCTGACAGACTTAGCTCGTGTCACCCAGTACCCCACTAGAAAGATCCCAGGCATCTGCCTTGAGAGTGGCAACCTCCAAACGCATCTCTTTGAGGGCAGATATGGCCCTGCACCTGCGCTGGGGACTCACACTCTCTCCTGGGGTCCCCGCCACCCCTCCTCCTCACTCCATCTCCCTCTGGGGTGCTCAGGTGGCCAGGGCTGTGCGTGTCCTCGGCCGATGATGTCCTCAGAGCCAGGTGAAGGGCGGGTGGCTCAGCCCCGGGCTCCACTGCCCACCTGTTCCCTGGAATCCTGGGCTTCCGGCTTGGCAGCTCAGGTAAAAGAGGTGCCTTGGGAAGTGATTACCGGAGAGGGCATGGGCCCCTCGCTGGTACAGGGGTCTGTAGGAGGGTGGCCATTGTGCCTGGGGTACAACTGAGCTTTAGTGAATAGAGGGATTTGCAAATAGAAAACCCAGAGAGCAAGGAAATTTGCAAATAGGAAGCCCGTGCACGCTGAGGTGTGACTGCATCCTTCATGTGTGTTACAGGCATCATACTTGCGTTCAGGGCCAGGCCCTCCTGTGACCTGGCCTGGTGCCCTGTGGTTGCCACCTCCTTGGGAAAGCCTGGGGTCTGCAGCTCCAAGGAAACAGGCAAAGATGGCACCTGGCCTTGTGCTACCCTTGGCCAGAACTGGGGCCACAGCAAGGCTTCTGAGGCCTTGGGTGCCACGGCACTGAGACGGCAGCCTTTCTGTGCATGGAGGTTCTCTGAGGATGCCACGTCTGTGCTTGAGCCGCTAGACTGTCGTGCTGGAGCTGGGCCCTGTGTGCTGAGGGTCAGAGCTCTCTCACGCGTCTGTAGGCCCTTTTGAGACCATCTACAGCCAGCCTCTGCCTGACCTGATAGCTTTGGGAAAACATTTAGAAGCCATTGCTAAGCCGGCAGACTTCTAGCTTCCTCGGGCCTGAAAGCTGGGGCCGCTGTGAAAGCCAGCTCGTGCCTGAAAAGCCAGGCACGGAGGTGCCTGTCATCTCAGCACGCTGTGAGGCTGAGGCAGAGGGGTCAAAAGAGCAAGCCCAGCCTGGGTAACTTCACAATGTAGGGAGATCCTGTCTCAAAATTTTTTTAAAAATAATAAAGGGCTGGAGATGTAGCTCAGTTCAAGGCCCCGGGTTCAAGGCCCCTGTAATGCAAAAATTAATTACTACATTGAAAAATAATGTGGCCCATCAGAGACCTGCAGAGGAGCTCCCCCAGCTCTGTCGAGGCCCCAGATGTGCGGTTTTTTCTGTCCCGTGATTGGGAAAGTTTACATAAGCTTGCCAGGGTTCCTGGGCCACCTTTCTATCTTCTTTGGCTCAGAATAAATTCTTCTTTCCTTTGAAGGAAGGGCTGGGTTGACGCCCCATGTGGTCTCTGCTTGGAGGACAGCACCGTCCCTTGGCTGGTGGCTGCGCAGTGCCACAGGGAGGCCAGCCTGGGACATGGTGCCGCTCTGGCAGACACCCCAGGTCTCCAGGCTGGTTCCCACACAGAGGACCTGATGTCCCTCCCTGCCGGTCAGTGCCCCTCATGGGCCCAGCACCCCATGCCCTGGGCTTGTCCACCGGGAACACAGCCTGGGAGGGCAGTCTTGTTCTGGGAATTTCCTCGCTTCGAGTGAGGCCAATGGACCAGGACAAGGGGGCAGCCTGCTGGAGGGGCTGGCCACCCCGTCCCGCTGGGCGTCCTGGAGTTTCCGTGGAACAGGCTGACACCAGTGCTCTGGGAGGCTGCGTGTGCCCATGGTCCAAGGGCCGGCGGTCCCTGTGGCTGTTTTCTGCTTGTCACTTAATCATCGACTGACTTTCATGCAGCACAATCAGAAATTTGGCTCCAAGGAGGGAGGAATCATTCCTTTGTGGATCCAAATGCAGGGCTTAGAAAAGACCCTCCATGTGCACCTGCGGCTGACCTCCTGCGCCCTCTGCTGGCCGGTCTGGGAACAATCATCCCACTCCGCCTGTACCCCACCCAACTAGTACAGCTTGGTAATCACCCTTTGATCCGGTCAGGGCACTGCCTTCCCACTAGCGATACTGACCATGGGAGTAGTCTGCCTTGAGATCTTAAAGGTTACCTTTATTAGGGTGTAATTCATGCAAAAGGAAATCCACCCGCTGTAAGGAACTTGGTTCAGGGAGTTTTGCGGACACAGCCACCATCCAGATGCAGGACATCACCTTCCCAGCCCAAGCCCACCCAACCCCCACAGTCAGGGCTCTGGCCCTGCTCCTGCCCTGAGGTCGGCGTGCTAGGATTTCCAGTAAGTTTAACTGACAGTATGGAGTTTGGGAGCTAGTCTTCCATACCGGCCGGCTCCTTGTCGCCAGGACACAGCACCCAACGCCCAGGGTTAAGAGAAGGAGGGAGTACGTGGCCCATGGTCCAGGGTTCAGTCTGGCGGGCTCTCAGGCAGGAGCATCATGGGGGAGGAGGGTGGCAGCACAAAGCCGCTGATCTCAGGCTGCGGGAACACTGTGTGCGTCTTTGAATGCGCTGGATACACAGCTGGGTGTTTTCTCTGTGGGTTTGCTGGGTAGGGTGAGTGGTGTGCTGTGTTTTAGAGGAATCAGAAAGATGGTTCTCCAAAGTGGCTGTGCCATTTTTCCTTTCCACCAACCACGGGTAAAGGTGCCCGATGCGCAGTGCCCACACCCGCGCTTGGTGTTGAGTCTTCTCCTTTTCAGCTGCGGTCAGGTGTGTGATGTGGCCTCTCGGGCTCATTCCTAGGGAGGAAAGGTGCTGGGTCTCTCTAGGGTATCAGACACCTGACAGCTTTTCTTTTTTAGTGCTCCTTCTAAGATGCTGCATCGGGTGGCGTCTGCGAATGTCCTCCCTCAGGGATGTGCAGTGCAGATGCTTCCTTCCTGTCTGTGACTGGCTTTTCATATTCTTCAGCAGTGTTTTTCAAATTCTAGGTTTTTTTTTTTTCCAGTACAAGGACTTGAACTCAGGACCTTGCGCTTGCCAGGCAGGTGCTTGTGCCGCTGAGCTATATCCCTAGCAATGTCTTTCAAAGAGTAGATGTGTTTTAGTTTTGATGAAATTTACTCTCTCCTTTATGATCTGCACTCCAGGTTTCCTGGTTGACAAACATCTGCCTAATCCAAGGCCACACAATTCTCTGTCCTATTTTCTTCTAGGAGTTCCATAATTTTAGCTCTTACACCTTTCATCTATGGCACACTCCCGGGCAAGTGGCTTAGCGTGGGTCTGCACACGTCCTTGTTGCCTGTCCCCTGGAAGGACGCTGACCACAGGGACCAGGCAGTATGTGAACTCCTGTTAGGGTTTCCCTAGGAGGCTGAGGATGGAGACTTTTGATTTGTTCTTTGAGAATTTTTCTGTTTCTTCTGTGTTTCATTTCTGTTTTATATCTCTACTGAACCAATTTTCTAAAGCTGCTATTTTCCTAAAAGCTTACTGATTTTATCTAAGTTATAAAAATTAGTGTATAAAGTTATTCTGAGGAGTCTCTTACAATTTTTTTAAAGTTTCCTGTTTCAGTAACTATTTGTCTCTTTGTCAGTTTTTACTTTATATGTTTGGGTTTCTTCTCCTTTCTCATCTTGATTAGGTTAGGTAATTGTTTGCATATTTTGTTTACTTTTTATTATTTAATTTTTGATTTTTTACTTCATTCCATTTTTCTTCCTGTCCTCAGTTTCTTTCCCCTGTTTGATTCTAGCTTGTGTGATTGTCCCTGTCTTGGATTTCTGAGTTGGGAATTTTATATTTATTTATTTATTGACTGACAGGGTCTTGCTATGTAGCCCCGGCTGGCCTTGAACTCATGGTGATTCTCCTGCCTCAGCTTCCTGAGTGGTAGGAGTACAGATGTGCGCCACCCTGCCTGGCTCCCTGAATTGGGCATTTAATTTATGTAGTATTGATATGTGTCTGAAGCTATACATTTTCCTCTAATTACTACTTGAAATATTCTTCATAGATTTAGAAATGTGGTGTTCTTATTACCATGATTTTAAAGAAATTCTGTAATTTCAATTTGTTGTGTATCTTTTAACCACAAATTTCTAAAATGGAAAACAGTTAAATTTTTGCCTCCAAGAGCCTTTTTAAAATGTTGTCCCCATTTTTGAGGCTTGTTGCACTTGTTCAAAGACTGATTATAACATTTCTATCACATGGAATTTATGGCTTTCTTTGTGAACACATATCCCATCAAATTTTGTAACATTTCATATACACTTAAGCAGAAGATATATTATCAGATTTATTTCTTTTTTCTTTTTTCTTTTTTTGGTCTTCTTGAGATAGGGTGCCACTATGCAGTTCAGGCTGGCTTTGAACT